TTGACTTGCTGACAGGTAAGACATCTCCTGACGAACTCGGCGACGTCCTTTTTCATGCCTCGCCACCAGAACGACCCTTTCAGATCGTGATACATCTTCGTGCTCCCGGGATGGGCCAAATAGGGTGCGGTATGAGCCTCTGATACAATCTCCTTCCGCAGCGCCTCGACCTTCGGGACCACGATCCTGCCTCTGAACTCTAAGGCACCATCGACACCTAACTGAAAATCCTCGACACCTCCGGCGCGAACCTTGGCCTCCATGACACGAACAAACTCATCAGAAGCCTGCTCTCGCCGAATTTTCTCTCTCAGCGTCGGCTGAAGCTGCATGGCACTGACACTGGCACTGGTACTCCCCGAAACAACTATGGGAAGTGCATCGATCGCCTGAAGCTGCATCCGGGAAAACTGCTGAATCAACGGACTCTGCTGAGTAATGACGTACGTCAAATCACCCTTCACCTTTTGGCTTAGGGCGTCAGCCACGACGTTTGCCTTTCCCGGATGATACTGAATAGAGCAGTCGTAATCCTTGACAAGTTCGAGCCAACGGCGCTGTCTCATATTAAGCTCTTTCTGCATGAAGATGTACTGCAGGCTCTTATGATCTGTGAAAATCTCGCAACGTCCGCCGTAAAGATAATGTCGCCAGATCTTGAGAGCATGAACGACTGCTGGTAATTCCAAGTCGTGCGTCGGATAGTTCTGCTCATGCGGCTTAAGCTGACGTGAAGCATACACAACGACCTGGCCGTCCTGCATAAGGACACATCCCAAGCCCTGTCTCGAAGCATCGCTAAAGATAGTGAAACTCCGAGAAGGATCGGGAATAGTCAACACCGGTGCTGAAGTTAACCTCCTCTTGAGCTCCTGAAAGCTCGCCTCACATCGATCTGTCAACTCGAACTTCACAGACTTCCTCGTCAGCTGGGAAAGAGGGAGGGCAATTTTGGAAAAGCCGTCGATAAACCTACGATAGTAACCAGCTAACCCGAGAAAACTGCGAACCTCGGACGGACTCCTCGGTGTCGACCAGTTCTGAACGGTTGAGACCTTGGAAGGATCCACCTCGATACCTGCCTGAGTAATCACATGACCCATAAAGGATACTCGCTGGAGCCAGAACTCGCATTTGGAAAATTTAGCATACAACTTTTCTCGTCTGAGGGTTTCGAGAACCACCCTCAGATACTCCTCGTGCTCCTTCTGGCTCTTCGAGTAAATAAGAATATCGTCAATAAAGACAATAACGAACTGATCGAAGTAGGGATGGAAAATACGGTTCATGAGGTCCATGAAAACAGCTGGCGCATTGCTGAGACCGAAAGGCATGACGACGAACTCGTAATGGCCGTAACGAGTCCTAAAAGCGGTCTTAGCGATATCTGACTCCTTAATCTTCAGCTGGTGGTAGCCTGATCGTAAATCAATCTTCGAGAACACACAGGCTCCCCTCAACTGATCAAATAAGTCGTCGATCCTGGGAAGCGGGTACTTGTTCTTGATCATCAACCAGTTAAGATCCCGGTAGTCTATACACATTCGCATGGATCCGTCCTTCTTCTTAACAAAGAGAACGGGTGCTCCCCATGGTGACACGCTCGGTCGGATAAATCCGAGTCGTAACAGCTCCTGAATCTGGGTCTTAAGCTCCTGCAACTTCTTAGGCGCCATGCGATATGGGGCTTTAGATACTGGACCGGCCCCTGGAATAAGATCGATAGAAAACTCCACCTGTCGGTCGGGCGGTCCTCCTGGAAGCTCGTCTGGGAACACGTCCACAAACTCGCAAACAATTGGAACATCATGAGGTGTTCGCGCTTTCTGAGAATCATCGACAAGGCTCACCAGGTAACCCTGGCAGTTTCCTCGTCGAAATAACTTAGTGGCTTTCGCCATCGAAACAACATGAGGCAGTGAACGATTCTTGGAGCCGAAGAAAGTAATCGACTCATCTCCCGGAAGATAGAGAGTGATCTCCCGGTCATGACACCTGATATCTGCATGATAGAAGGATAGCCAATCCATTCCGAGAATAAGGTCGAAGTCCCTCATCTCAAGAACAAATGCGTCGGCAGTTAATACTCGACCACCGATGGAAAGGCTAAGATTTGAGGCTTTAGCTGAGGTCACTATATTTCGTCCCGAGGCTAAACTCACCTCGAGAGGATCGACAGCGGTAACGGCGTGAACTCCGATGGCATCGAGACATCGTCGCGAAATGAAAGAATGTGTCGCTCCAGTATCAAATAAAGCAAACACAGGAATATTATTGAGAACAACCATCCCTGACATAGTACCTGGCTGTTGTGCTGCCTCTGCCTGATCAACCGCGTAAACCCGGGCCTGCTGTCTGCCCCTCTGCTGCTGCTGCTGTTGAGGCGGCCTCTGTGCCTGCTGACGTGGCTGCTGCTGCTGTGGTGGCTGCTGAGGCTGCTGAGGCTGCTGCTGGAGTTTCTTCGGACAACGACTCGCAAAGTGTCCAGGCTCGTGGCAATAGTAGCAGATGTCCTGTCCCACATGACACTCTCCCCGATGAAGTCGTCCGCAGGTCGGGCACGGTGGAATCGGCTGCTGTCTCTGTCGGGTCCTCCGGTCCGTCTGTGCACCCTTCCCCTTCCTCTTCTTCTCCTTTGCCGGCTGAGGGGCTGGTAGAGCTGGTGGAGCTGCGAATGGCTGAACTGGGGCGGATGGCTGAGCACGATCACGAACTGCCTCCCTCCTGATGCTAGCGTCCACCTTCTGGGCGATAGAAACGGCACGAGCGTAGGTCTGAGTCCCGTGTCCCACGATGTTGTGACGGACTGCTGGGAAAAGCCCGTCAATGAACCGCTGTGCTCTCTGGGCCTCCGTGCGAACCAGGTCTGGTACGAAAGCTGCAAGTCTAGTGAACTCTCGCTCGTACTCGTCAACGGTACGAGTGCCCTGCTGAAGCGCTAAGAACTGACGTTCCATCTCTGCCCGATAGTAGGAAGGG